GAATTCGCGTACAACAACGCGGAACACGTGTCCACGGGAATGAGCCCATTCATGGCCAACCATGGGTGTCATCCCAGGGCCTTCCCGGGAGTGGGGAGGAAAGCTGGAGCGTACCCGCTGCAGAGCAGTTTGTGGAAGAAATGGAGGCCCTACACCAGCAACTTAAGATGAACTTGGAGCGGGCCAAGGAAACTTACAAGAGGCAGGCAGACAAGCACCGCAGGGAAGGGGAGACCATACGGGTGGGGGACCGGGTGTGGTTGTCCACCCAAGGGCTACCTTTCAAAGGGGGGTGCAAGAAGTTGCAGCCCAGACGGCTGGGACCTTTTGAGGTAACACAGCAAGTTAATCCCGTGGCATTTAAGCTCAGGTTGCCTGATAGCATGAAAATACATCCGGTTTTCCATAGGTCCCTGCTTTCACCGCATAGGGAAGGGCGGGAATTCCAGGGGCAAGAGGGAGAAGTCACCACACACCCGCAGGTAGAAGAAAGGGAACACCACCACAGGGCCACGGAAATACTGGACTCAAGGTGGCAAGGGCGCCGGGTGGAGTATTTGGTAGCGTGGGAAGGGGAACCCAGGTCCGAAAACACGTGGGTCCCCACGGAAGCCGTCGAGGACAGGTATCTGGTGGAGGTATTCCACCGCCGGTTCCCGGACAAACCCAAACCCCTGGAGAGATTCTGGGAGGAGCAATTTGGAACCACAGATGAGGAAGAGGTTTTTGAGGGATTTTCTGACTCCGGAGGAGGGAGGAGAGGTTTCGGAGGAAGAAGCGTCAGACGGGGAAGACCACCCCGTTGGTAGGTGGAAGAGCGACTGGGAAGCCGGTTTCGAACCCACAGAAGATGGTGACAGTTCCTTCCGGGGTTCCCCCGCCGCCTCGGCCGACGATGGGGACGAAGTTGGTCCCACCGGTCGGTCCAGGGGTGGCGGGGATTCTGGGGGGGAGGTGGATGTCAGGGAACTGACATCAGAGCGGGAGGCGAAGGGGAGGCTCCTGGATGATGCTGGAGAAGGACCCAGCAGCAGGGGGAGGCAACTCAGTGGAGGGGGAAGCATTTAAGCGCAACACCAGGAACAAAAGTGAGCAGATGGGGAAATCGGAGAGAGGGCTCACGGACTCTTCACTGGAACTCAGTGAGGAGGGGACAGGTCCCCCGCTACCCACGCCCACCCTGCACAGAAGGCTCCCGCGCAGTGAGAGGCGGAGGAGATTGGGTGTCAAACAACTCTTATGTTGGAAGAGATTCAAGAAACGCCCACTGACGGATTCTGCTAGTGACTGAGACAGTCATGATGAGAAAGGGCTGTGCAGTCAGAAAGGTTTAACAAGGCAAATTAGCCTAGAGAGGCACCAGTTTACGCACGAGTAACTCATACTCATTACACTCGGGTTACATACGCTTCAGGTAACATACGCTTCAGGTTACAGACTCCGCTAACCCAGAAATAGTGTTTCAGGTTAAGAACTTTGCTTCAGGATGAGAACAGAAATCGTGCTTTGGCGGCGCGGCAGCAGCAGGAGGCCCCATTAGCTAAAGTGTGTGAGGAGAATCAGAACTTACAGGGCATGCAAAAGAGCAAAGATAAAAAGGTGCCGTTATCCCAGATCGGAGAGGGTAACCACAAGGCCTTTTGAGCTTGTGCATACAGACCTTTGTGGACCCATGCCAGTGCCGAGTCTGGACGGAGCCAGGTATGCGCTCACGCTGACAGATGATTTTTCGAGGAACAGCTGGGTCTTCTCGCTTAAACGGAAAAGCGAGGCAGCGCAACTGATCAAAGACTGGGTTGCGGCGGTGGAACTACAGTTTTCCACCAAGGTGCAGAGCTTTCAGAGTGACCAAGGCGGAGAGTTCACCGGGTCTGCTCTGCAGAGTTTCTTCCGCCAGAAGGGGATAAGTCACAGGTTGACGGTTGCTTTTTCTCCTCAGGAGAATGGTGTAGCAGAGCGCAGGAACAAAACGCTAGCTGAGGCAGCTGACGCTCTACTGTTTGATTCTGGTTTGCCTCAGAGCTTTTGGGGCGAAGCTTGGAAAGCTGCTAGCTTCACTTTGAACAGGTCCTATAGCTCTGTTGTAGGAGACACGCCCTATTTTCTGCTGCACCGGAAGAAGCCCAAGGTGCATTTCTTCCGTGTGTTTGGTTGCAAAGCTTGGGTGCTTGTGCCAAAGACTCAACGCAAGAAAGGTGACCCGAGGTCCCGGAAAATGATCTTTTGTGGGTACGAGCCTGGGACAAAAGTGTGGAGGTTTGCCTATCCAGAAGGCGATCAGTCCAGGATTCTAGTCAGCAGGAGTGCTGAGTTCTGTGAGCAGAGTGGGTGGTCAAGGATCCATGCGAATCCTGACGTTCTCTCAGAGTGTCTGTCTGATTCTGCTGAGGAGGGAGAGTTAGAAGCTGAACCTGTTGATGAGGACCAGGTCTCTGACCAGGGTCAAGAACAGGGAGGGGCATTTCCACAGGTTGTTAAAAGAGAGCCCAAGAGTGAGCCTTCGTCTCCTGTTAGTCAAGTGCAGAAGGCCAGAAGACGCGGTAAGTCAGAGGGGGAGTCTTCTGATAACAAGGACACACTTGCTGGCCCCAGTGGGTCAGAGGGAGCACCTGAGACAGTGCTCAGACGTGCCGCACACACTACAAAGGGGGTACCACCTGAGAGGTTTGAGGTCACCAGCGTGTGGGTTGGTTTAGCGCAGTGCGAACCTGAGAGTTTTGAGGAGGTTCAACAGTTGCCTGAAGCGGAAACCAGGAAGTGGCAAGAGGCAATGGGAAAGGAGTTGAACTCAATGAGGTCCTTAGGTGTGTTCTCCACCACGAAGCTGCCAGAGGGCAAGCAGGCCGTGAGCTGTCGTTGGGTTTACAGGATTAAGCCCACAGCATCTGGAGAACCACAATACAAGGCGAGGCTTGTAGCCAGAGGGTTCACACAGAGAAGGGGGCTGCATTACACCGAGGTGTATGCTCCTATGTCCCGGAGTGAGACTCTGCGTGTGCTTTTAGCAGTAGCTGCTCAAAGAGGGCACCAAGTGCACCACTTTGATGTGGATGTGGCTTATTTGAACTCGGATCTGAAGGAGGATCTGTACATGTTACCTCCTCCAGGGTTTGAGGGCAATGAGCCAGGTGTTGTGTGGAAGCTGGACAAGTCAATTTATGGTTTGAAACAGTCAGCCAGAAATTGGAACATGTGCCTGAATGAAGCTCTGGAAAGTTTGGGTTTCCAGAAGAGTCTTGCAGACAGTTGCCTGTACCTGAAGGGGTCAGGAGAGACACAGGAAGCGATTCTGGTGTTTGTAGATGATATTCTGTACATGGCACAGACAGGTAGGCAGGTGCAAGGTTTTGCCAAAGAGCTTGGTAAGAAGTTTAAGCTCAAAAACCTTGGTCCCGTTCAGGTTTATCTAGGCGTTAGGATAGAGAGGTCTGAGAACGGGAGTTTCTTGCTCAGTCAGAAAGGCAAGATTGAGCAGTTGCTTGAGAAGTTCCGGATGTCTGACTGTGCAGGGGTCAGAACGCCCATGGAGACCAACTTCGTGAAAGACAGTCAGCTTGGGGAGCGTTCTGAGTTCCAAAACCCTGAGGTGTTTCAGTCAGCGCTAGGGAGTCTGTTGTATCTCTCTCAGTGGAGCAGACCAGACATAGCGTTTGCTGTGAATCTGCTCAGCAGGGAGGCTACAAATCCCAGTGTGAATGCCTGGCAAGGCATCAAGAGAGTGTTGAGGTATTTGCAGGATACCAAAGAGTTTTGCCTCACGTTGTCAGCTGAAGGTGACGCACGGCTTACGTGCTGGAGTGACAGCGATTGGGCATCTCTTGGGGACAGGAAGTCTGTGTCTGGGCTGGTGGTAAAGTTCGGGGAATCCCTGGTTGGGTGGAAATCCCGGAAGCAAAGTCTTATTGCACTTTCTTCCACTGAGGCTGAGTTCAGTGCGTTGTCGGATTTGTGCAGGGAGTTGAACTTCTACCGGTGCTTGATCCAAGAGATCTGTGGGGATTGTTGCTTGCCCATAACTGTTTGGGGAGACAATCAACCTTGTCTTAGGTTGGCAGAATCTGGACAGTTCAAGTCCAGAACCAAGCGTTTGGACATACGTTTCCAGAATGTATGTCAGAGTGTTCAAGCAGGTTGGATACGGCTCAAGTATTGTTCGAGCCGGGAGAACCTAGCTGATGGGTTTACCAAACCCTTGACCTTCCAGCGACATGGGGAGTTCTGTGAAGGGTTGTGTTTGGGATGAGTTATACTCACAGTTTCCCTCAGGATGCGAGACGAGGGGGGGGTGAGGAGAATCAGAACTTACAGGGTTAAACAGTTCTGTGTGACGTCTCACATTCTGAGGCGTGGTTTGGTTCACATACGGGAATCTTTCTTTGTGTGTGAGTTTCCTTTTCGTTTTTGGCTGAGAGGCGAGAAGGATGTCTGCTCTCTCGCCGGGACTGATTTATGATGTTTTTCTTCACATTAAAGGCTGTTAGAGATTAGCAAGAAGCCTGCGTTCAGTCTGATTTATTATCCACACACAAGGCAACACTTTCTACCACTGCTAAGAACTCTGCTAAGAGCTTCAATAAGAGCTCAAGTTTTTTCTATCGGCACAGGCGTCCCTCGGCACAGGGGAAGAGTGCCGGGCGCCATCTTATCTCACAAAAGTGGTGCTTCAGGTTAAGAACAGTTTCAGGTTAAGAACGGACCTCTGGAACGAATTAAGTACTTAACCACTGTATGATTGAGAATGTAAAACAAGTACAGCATATGTTTTGAAGTAGGACAAAGCCATTAAAGAAGAGATCACCACCCCAGAAATACTTCATAACACATATGTGTTGATCTCCATGCTGTCGCCATTTAGTATGTTAGGAATCTGAGTACATGATTTTAAAGCAAGAAAGACTGAGAACATTTTATTTATTTTCTGTTCATAAATGTCTCCAGCACTTAAACATTATTTTATTCTTAATCAAAAGGCTTCAGATAATAGCCTCCACATCCAAGGTTTAAAATTTACAATATTGGTCATATTTTAGCTTTGCACCCAGTTTAGTTCCTGCTAAGCACTCTTCAAATTTTGCATCCATTTCCCGGCTCTGAGCCTCAGTGAACAAAGTCTTCCAATCACCCACAGCACCTATTAAGAAACAATTAAAAATGAATCTCACTCTTTATGCCTTCCTATATAGAGGTTTACAGATCAGATTTATGATTTTGGAATGTTGAAGCAGATGGCTGTATTGTCATACTTCTCATTCTGCAACACTATGCACCCTTTCTAGGGAGTAACCAAGGAAGGGAATTACTAGGTTGCATCAGAATGAGCTGTTTGGAGATGTGAAGAGTGACAGAAACATTTGAGGGGTATATATGTGCATGTGCGTGCAGCTGCAAGGTTTTCTTTTTAAATATTTCTGTTTCTTTAACATCAGTAGCAGCAGCAGCATTATTGAAACACAGCTTTTCCTCCCAAGACAAGCCTAAGAGATTTTTGAGAATTAAAAGAAGCACACACACACAAGCATCCTAAAATATATTATCTTAGTATGATGGCTGACATGTTTTCAAGGCAAAATTTTAAAAATATCATTTTAACTTCCTTGTTATGCACCGGCTACTCTTCTAGTAGCTATATAAGAGAATTTATCATAATTATAATTTCAGTATATTGTAAACTTGTAGAACTCTCAAACTATCTCGCCTGCTGCAGATGTCTTCTATCTTTGCAACAGGTTAAAAAAACCTATTCTTTTTTTTTTTTTGAAGGGGGGGCAGGTAGTCTGACACTAATCATGAAAAATGCAAACACGAGAAAGAGTAGAGAAGCTTGCCTTGATCTGTGGAAATATGTTGTCTGAAACCAATGGAAAAACAAAAACAAAATTGGAAGCTTATCCCTGTCAAAATGGTTCTGGTTAAAGAAACGTGATGTGGTAGTATTGTAAATAATAGTGTTGTTTAAATTACACATATAGTATAAAGTAATTTATACTGTGGCTAATTGGTTTACACTTAGAGCACTTAGGCATTATTTCTATCCCAACCTACTTGCAAATAAGCCCCACTGAATTCCAACTATCCCACTGTGCAGTCCTATGCTTGTCCACTTAGAAACTTTCAAGTTCAATAGGACCACCAACTCCCAGATCACTTAGACCACTATTCAGAGTTTAACTGTCTTGTTTGATTATTGACATAATAAAACATGAGCTGCCCTGGGCTCATGGTTTTTATGCCTCTTACTCTACATCAGGCTTCCTCAACCTCGGCCCTCTGGATGTTTTTGGCCTACAACTGCCATAATCCCTAGCTAGCAGGACCAGTGGTCAGGGATGATGGGAACTGTAGTCTCAAAACATCTGGAGGGCTGAGGTTGAGGAAGCCTGCTCTACATAGTTGGATATCATTGGTAGGAGAGAATACAGAAAACTGTGATGTCACAGCACAAGTAGCTTCTACTTTTGCAGACTAATTTGCCTATTTAAAGTATGACATGTGTAAACTATTGTGGACCATAAGACGTCCTTGTTCTAATGATAGCAAGAAAATGAGAATGGCCTTACAGAGGCTTTATAAGGGTTCTTAGTTCTTTTGAACGTTGGTTCTATATGTGGGATGGGAGAGAGAAAGAAGGAAATGGGTCAAAACTATTTTCTAGGCATTGACCTGGGTTTGTTTTTTTCCATAAATGGCACCACTAGAGGGTGCTTGTGTTACTGGAAGAAACAGAATTCATTGCAAACTAGTGGCATAAAGTCAATATTGCAGTACCTTTCCTGAAAAGGACAGGAGCAAACCGACCAAGTGTTTCTTCAGATTTACTGCTCATTGCTTGGAAGGTAGAGTTCTCTGCAACAGACTTAATCATTTCATCAGACAGAGGTAGTTCATAAAAGTCAGCTATTCGCTTCACTCCTTCGTGAAGATTCTGGAAAATAACAATAAAGTTAGTTATGACTTCATAAATATAATTGCTACTAAGGTAGATTTCTAAGTTAGAATCAGCCCTAAGATTCAAGAATGGGGCAGGCTAAACATCTGAATAAATATATTCATAAATGTAAGGTATGTGCTTTACTGCCCTAAAAAGGTGCATCTGATATTAGCAAAATAAGTGCAGCGTGAAAGGAAGCACAGAAACATTGTCACAGCAAAGGTGCATCATTTATAACTTTCTATTTGTTTCTGTAACTTATATTCCTTGAAAAGCATTCCCCCAACAAATATCTGCTATCCATTTTTTTTCCATTTCCAGTGTGCCATGTTCAATCATCTATATTCCTTTTAACTCAGAAATGTTTGAGATGATTAAAAGTTTGGAACACTACTTCTGATAAACTTAGTTAACCTGTGAACGAGCACACCCAGAAAGATTACACCACAATACTTAATCAGACTGGCATATTGGTGTGCTTAGTATTTCATGAACTGCAGGATCGCCATTTATTTTTTAATTTTAAAACATTTAAAATATCCAAACCTGCTAAAGGGAAAAAACAAAACACACACAAAATACTCATGCTCTTAACAAAAATAGTTGTGGCAGAAGAAAAGTCAAAATATAAAACTGGCAGAAACACAGCAGAAAGTACTTGGCAGCATGATGAGAAAGAACTTCCAAACCTCAGTCAAAAATGAATGCATTTCTAATAGTTATTAACTACAGGTTTATTAAGGAAAAGAAAACCAAAGGCAATGGGGGGGGGTAAGGGAGCAGAAACAGAAAAGCAAAACAATGCCCCTCCCTTTACCAATTCAGCAACCATCAATACACCTGTCTGAATTTCCACATACAGCTTGATTAGGCCATCTAAGAAAATGAATGCACAACAGAATCATTATCTCAATTTCAAAGAATGCTCACTTCTTTCAGCTCTTCAAATGTGATGATCATGACATTTTCATCATCCATATGTTTGTCCCAAGCAAGAGCATGGTCAAAGTAGGACTGCCAACAAACTGAAATGAAATGCAAACAGCATATTTCAAATCCCGGGTGTGGAGTGGGGTATACAAAACTTGTTTGCCTTTCATTTGAACAGAAGTTCTACACAGATACTTTGTGGGAAGTTTCAGAAATACAGAAAGTGAGAACTTCTAACCTACCTTCGCCACTCATGAACTTTTGAAAAAAATCATCCCAGGAGCTGACATTTGGAAGAAAGGGGTTTTTGTTGTAAAAATGGTAATAGGATACAGCGGCATCTTTGGGGTTTCGAAATACTACCAACATCTATTTAAAAAGAAAGAAAGAGATATTAGATTTTGTTGGAACCTCCCCTGTGCAAACATCTCTAACTTTCTGGAGCTGACACATCAAAGAGGCCATTGGCCCCTACCTAAGGCAGAGCTTTTAAGCTCCGTGCCTTGCTCTGGAAGGGACCCTTTCACACAGGCTCTATGTGGCTTCCACAATTTTTCCCAGGAGCCTCCCATAGCCCATATGCGAGACCTTCCCAGAGCCCAATAAGAAAGGCTGAGAGCTTAAAATCTCTTTCTGTGACAGGAAAAGTGCTTTGGAGCTCTCTCCCTTGTGTGCATTTAATTTGTTTCATTGCATGATGGCCAGCCACCATACAAGTAAATCTGTTATTGCACAAGTTAAATGCAGACAAGTTGCAAGTCAACAGTATTTATATAGAGTAAGCCTGCAACTTGAGCTCATTTAGCTTTACGCAAGTGGGAAAATATTTTTTTAAAAAATTAAAAGGGGGCGCAGGGTTCTGGGGGAAATGACTTCGACAGTCCCAACTACTATTGAACCCAATGTGTTTTGAGTATATGCAATTTTGGCATTAGGTGCAATCCCCAGAACATAGGTTGCGGACATAGTGTACTGAAAGTAACATATCAGTGCAAACTGAAATGGAAATGTTGAAAAAGCTGGTGTCTTAAAATGTTCTCTGTTCTTGCCCATCTCGCTTAAACTGGTTGTGGGGAGAGACTTGTGTTTCTGGGACATAACAGACTGCCACAACAAAAGGCAGGAAGTTTAGCAGAGTAGATATTGCTTCCAATAACACTTTGCCTTGGAGAGACTTGGGGGATGGCTTTTGCTTTATAGTTCCCTCTTTGGAATTTCCCCCAGGTAAACCTGAGTATCTAATTCTGAGGAAGAAGACGGAGGAAGGAGACTGTCTACATTATTCTATGGTTTGGCTCATGAAACAGAACAGGCATAGGCAAACTCAGCCGTCCAAGTGTTTTGGGACTACAACTCCCAACATCCATAGCTAACAGGACCAGTCATCGGGGTTGATGGGAATTGTAGTCTCAAAACATATGGAGGGACGAGTTTGCCTATGCCTGAAACAGAACTGTGACAGACCCGCATGTGAAGAGAACAGTTTCAAAGGTCCCTTACCTCACACAGAGATTACAGATAAAGCAGCACCTTTGCCTCCAGCTATGCAAAGAATGCAGTGGGTCCAGATTTAGTTGTACCTAAGTCCTATTGAAATCAATGGGTTTAGTCATGAGTAACTAAGCCAAAGCAGGAGAGAGCAATCCAAACCAGCCAGGAGATCCGCGCAGAGGAACAACTCTGCTCAGTCCTCACACAAATCCTCAACCCAGTCCGAGGGAGGGTTGGAATGCTCTGTTAGCCTGGATTTAGGCCAACTGATGTAGAATTTGCTTTGACAATAAGACAAGAGCTGTCAAATTAAGATACCTATATTAAGTACTCAGTATTGTGATTAAATGCTGTTAGAGTATTAGGTAATCATAATAGTAGTGAAGCTAGTCACTTACCTTCACCTTATTCTCAAAAAAAGATTTGGGAATATTATCATAATGAAAATGTGTAGAAAAAATACGTGGAGAAGGCTGCTTGTCCATGTCCTAGAATAAGAATTAGAGGAATGTTAACTTTGTTGTTGTTTCAGGATCTAGAGGGGTTGTTTTTCCCCTTCTTTTTATTGAGCTTTATAAGGGGGGGGGGCTTTGATTTACATATTGACAGAAGAAGAATAACAAACTATACAAAGAGGTTTGGAGTACATGACCATTTGGGTCTCTTCAAGTTGTACAATTCTTTGATTCCAGGTATTAACTTGTCTCCCTCGCCCCTTTACCCTACCTGAACTTTTGTGGGCAGTCCAAATTCAAGCATTTGTAGGTTTTCTAGTGGTGGTAAGTCCTTGTAACTTGGGATTGCGGCTACCATGTCATTTACCATTTGGAGCACCCAGTTAGTACCTGCAACATAAGAGCAAATGAGACATATATGAATCACAAGAGCATAAGCTGCACAACCAAATGCACAGTCATGTTCATATATGGCAGTTGGCTTAAATCGTAGGTCTTCAACCAGTGGGTTGGGACCTGCAGGTGGGTCACAAGGTGATGACACGATAGTCACAACAAAGCTGTCGCCATCATGCAAGCTGTAAACAAACTGCAGAAAGAGAACTTCCCTTTAGCCAAGGACTTATGAGGTACACATCTCCTCTCCACATAAAAGAGGGCCTTGAGTCGCTGCTCATGGCTGTTGTGGGGTGCTCAGGCACCCCAAGATGTATTCACCTGGGACCCATTTCAGTTCATTTTGGGTATCAAATAAACATTGGTTTCCGTGTTCAAACTTTAATAGACGGCACTCCCACACAACAGCTTATTATTCATTGTGGAGTCAGCTGCTCAGGTTTGCAGGTTTTGCATACAAACCCCCATTTACCATTTATGAAAAGCTCAACAAAACAGGGAAACTGTAAATCCAGATTACATGGGGGAAATAAACATACGGATCATATGTGGTCAGATATCAGTTGGTAACCAAATCCATTCCCCTTTAATTCCATTAAAAGCTGGATACTCACCGCATTTTGGATAAGCAACAATCAGCCTATCGTCCTTCCTAGCTTCCATGGCTTCCAATGCTTCAAAGGTCTCAGGACTACAAAGTTTTGGATACAGCACTCCTCTGTAAGTAAACAGCAGCTCCTCATTCTCCTCCCCTTGAAGCGTAGCATAAAGATTCTCTATTATTTTCACAAGACTTGTCTTTTTCTGGGCCATCTTGTTGATCTGCCTCAGTCTTGTCACAACCCCTTTTAAAAGGCAGATTTGCTTCTGCGTGACCAGAAGTTGTATAATAAAAGTATATAGCAGAAGAGGAAGCAATTCTGAATCACAAACACTCGCACGCTATTCTCTCATTGACCTCTGAGAGTTTGCAAACTTCGTTCTCATTTGCCGCTGACTTGGAACAGCCCCATTTTCTGGCTGTGTAAATTACACAATATTTGAGGGCTGGGCAGGGTGCTTTCTCAGAGGAAAAATCACTTGACATTGCAACACCAGAGGCTCTGTAGGGGAAGAAAAGCAGACTGAAACCATTCTGATAGTTTAAGTAGCTAATGGTATTAGAGTGCATCCTTTTTTCTTTTAGGATTCTTTGGGAACCCTGTGACACAAACTTTCACCATAAACATGGTGAAAAACACAAAGCAAAATGCATTCTTTCATGGCTCAGTCCTAGGCACATAAACTTGGAACTAAACTTGGACAAGTCAGAGAACTTAAATTCTTATTTGTAAAAATGTGTTTGCCAGTTCTGCAGCCACTTTCCCACTTTCAAAGATGATGGAACTAAAAAGGCCCAGATTTGAGGGGCATTCAAGGAGAGGAGGGAGAGAAAGCTGCATTTGTGCTTATGCGAGTTCTTCTGTGGGTGCAATTATTTGGTCTGAAGCAGCTCGCTACAGGTTGATAGTTTGTTTCCAATTGCAATCAGACCCAGTTGTTTCCCCCTCTCTCTTTTTTGCCAAAGAGGGTAAATTAGATGTGGCTGCTTTATTTTACTTTCTAGATAGGATAAAACTAAATGTTTGTTCAGACATTTGGGATTTCTTAATACAAAATATCGAAACCCCTGTCTCTCAGAACTTTGGTAGGTACACATTAAAAAGTCCATCTTTCACAATTAAAAACTTTAACCGTGCTCCCTACATATATATGACTCCCAGAAGTAAGCCCTATTGTGCTCAGTGTGACTTACTCCCAGGTAAAGGAGTGCCTGAGAGTAAGACATATACACTAAGTATGACCTACCGCTACTTATGGGTTGCCATGTACATTTACAAACTTTTATTACGGTAACAAGTCTGCATACTTTGCAGTGTTAAATAGTATTTGCAAAAGGAGAAGTCTGAAGGTAACTATATATCAAACTGGCGAGAGAGTAGCAGCATCCAGTCGCTTAAAAAAACATGTTTGCTTTACAGCTGAAGTTCTCAGCATATCAAAAAGCTTTAATATAACAGGATTACCAAATAGCAGGTCACTAAGATTTTCTCAAGGAAACCAAACCTCCTCTGAAACTGGCCACATTCTGCATTTTCATTCATCAGGTTAATCTTTCAAAGGTTTTGTTAAGTCCCCTTTTGGGACAAAGGAGTTGTGAAAGGGGGTGTTAGGTAGCCTATTCCAGCTAAACTTTAACCCATTCCCAACAGGGCAGTTGGTGGTCAACGTCCCTGTGGGAAGTGGATTGCTATATTTTAATATTGTGATTTTATACATGTATCTTTCTTACCTCTAAGACACCTTGTAAGGACTTGTATTCTGAAAGGTTGGGTCTGAATGTTTGTCCCATATTCTTGAATTAATACATTCTGGTTTGCAAATCAAATTGGTTGTATCTCATTGGCAACATGCTGAGAACAGCAAAATATGATGTTGCTGCTCCCGCCCCCCCCCATAACCAATGAGGTTATCTTTTTGTCTTCCGAGCAAAAGCTGAAAACTAGTTAATGATTACTTATACCTAAAGGCCATGTCATAGAGCAAAATTATCCCGTAGCCATTTTCTACTCACCGTTATTACATTTATAACCTGGCAGAAGCATTTCTCAGACAACCCAGCTGATTTCCTCTTCACACATATTCTTCATAATACAGTAATAATAATAATAATAATAATAATAATAATAATAATAATAATGATGGCGGACAGCACTCTACTAATGTGAGCCCATTGATTTTATCTTTTTATTTTCTCTTACTCCTTTTAAAGACTATTTTAATGAATATTGAGCTCAGATAATTTTAAGCACCTCACCCTATTCCATCCCACGCTCCGCTTTCCTGACTCTTCTTGGAGCTTTAAAGCCGCATTGACTATCTTATCACACTGCGAAGAGCTTACAGGAAGATTCATGGGCTGTTCCCACCACAAGTCTGGAGGCACAGACGGAGCATAACTTAGTGTTATGCCAATAACCTTTGGCACACTCCTCCTCCTTGAATAGGATACTTTCAAGGAAAATACTCCCTCGACTCTTTGAAAAATTTAGGGAAGATAAAAGAGCGAGGCAAAGGGAGAGATGACTCAGCAATTAGACAGCCCTGCTGATGCGAGGAGGGGGGTCGGCAAACGCTGCAGAGAATCGGAGGACTCAGAGGAAATGGCATGTTTGCCCCTTACCAAGCAAACCAAAATCAGCGAATTCTTCCATGGAAAAACAAAGGACACTTTTAATATTCCGACCTCGAACAGTTTCTCGCCATTAGCAGAGATAATAGATAAGGAAATTACACCGAAGGAACCACCCACTAAACAACCCATTAACTCCTTAAACAACTCCACCACGAGACCAAAAGGCCCCCAAAAAGCTCCAACTATGCCCATTCAGGCGGAAGACTGCATCGGAGAACAAGCAAACTATCTCTCTGAATTATTGCTTGAACACTCTACCACGTTAGACCTAGTGGCTAAAACCGTGGACTGTATCTTTAAATATATAAGAGACATCAAAGGCTCCTTAGAGAATATTACATCCTTTGTATCCCCAAAAGTTAATGTCAGCCCTGTAGACGTTTCACCGGAGGATAGGGCTGAACCAACGCCCAGAGTACCTGCCCTATTACGTTTAACCCCGCAGACTGGCTGCAAATCTGAAAACGAACAATCTATGGAAGATTCACACACCATATCTTCCTATAATCTTTCGTTACAAGCCACTAGACTTTGTTTAATTATCCTTCCCTTCAAAGGTCAGGTTGTTAACTGGTCGTCTACACATGTCGCAAGAAGGCATTTGGCTGAGCTTCTGGGCGTAGATCCTCTTTCCATCGATCTGAAATCCGCTGTCCACATTTACAGCAAGCCACACATGCAGAGGATACTGCTCACCTTTGATTCCAAAAAGCTTCCAACTTATATGATGTCCTTACGAAGCTACCTGACTAACTATAGAATTTTTATCACAAGAGTTTTTATCAACACTAAGATTTGCCCTCTTATTCCCTACTCTCCAGTTAAAAGGAAAGCAATTAAAAATGAGGGCATTCCATCTACTACGAGCTCTACCTCTCCACCCTCAGACTTAATTAGTTGGACAGAGACCCCCATGCCCCTCCTATCAAAGGCTACTCATCTTGAGAATTCGATGGAGCAGGAATTACTTGTCTCCTTCTCCCATCTGCCAAAAGCCGAACAAACAGAGATAACGGACAGACTAGATGAGTTATTACTCTATCTCCGCAACTTTGAAGATCTAGCGCCCATAAAAGAGGCAAATATTCCACCTAACTTGGAGCGAAAAATGGGTCATGAATCTCCTCAGGTCACGGCAGAACACACACCTCTACTCTGCCCATCTGAAATCCACGCCGAAATCTCTGTGGCGCCCTAATCACATTACCGGAGACTCAACCATCCAATGGTTGCATCTTCCACGACCCCGGAAAGCCCTAGATGTTATTGAAGAGACAAAATGACTCTCACCCCTACTACTATCCTGGAACGTTGCTGGATGGCAATCGAAAACAAGGGACAAAGACGTTTTAACCTACGTATCACAGTTCAAGATCATCCTGCTCCAAGAAACCTGGATGCAAAATCCTTTCGAACTACACAATTACTTTGCTTTCCATTCCCCTGCCACAATCGGCCCAAAAGGCGGAAGACCGGCGGGAGGTTTGAGCACCTTCGTATCGACAGATCTAGGAGCCCCCCTATCCAATTGAAAATCGATAAAAATGGATTTTGGCCGTTAAAATATTCTCCACCCATTTTAAGATTATATGCATCAATGTCTATATTCACCCACTTATGAAACAAACTGATCTTAAAAACATCTGGAACGAACTGGAAGACTGCATTCTCCTTGTCTCAAATAAGTTCCCTCTGCCTCCTTAATTATTGGTGGGGATTTTAATGCAAGGCTAGGCCACTCAGACGAACAATTAATCAAGGAAAGTGGAATGGGTCCCCTAAATGCTAATGATGAATATTGGCCCCTATTCAGGCGTCACTCACTTGACCCAGTCACCAATTTTGCTGGTACATGCCTTTTTTTAATGGCACTTAGATTAAACCTTGTTATTTTAAACGGCCTCTCCTCGGGGGACTGCCCTGGCCAATTTACTTACTGGTCAGGCCTAAGGCATTCTGTTATTGACTACATCCTTGTCTCCCAAGAACTTTTCGATGAATATATTGAATTTACTGTAGATACAAGAACCGAAAGTGACCATTTACCCCTAAATCTTAAAAGGACTGAATTTTGGGAACCCTCTAGATGTGGGCTTGCCCCGCAGACTCCTGATCCTAGCGCTTTACAACAAATAGGTAGATCCAGAATTAAATGGTCCCCTTATGTTAATAACCATTTTGGTATTTGGACACAATCAATGGAAGGTCAACTCCTCTGGGCTGATCTGACTTCCAACGACACTGAAGAGACCTCCCCAATCGACCATTATAACACATTAATCCGAAAACTCCAACCGTTATTGTCAAGACCCAGAAGATCTAACCAAAATGACTCCCTACCAACAAAAAATGGTTTGACCACGAATGCACTCAGGCAAAACTTATACTCAGGGAATGCTTTAAGGTCTTCCAGCAAAATCCTAACCCTATCACTAAATTGGAGTTACAACTTAAAAAAAAGAACTACAAAGAGTTATTAAAAACCAAAAAAGAACCGCAGACTCTCTCATCTGGCAGGCCCTCATAAAAGCGTCAATAGAAAAAGACAATTCTAACTTCTGGAAAATCATCTCCAGTC